GGTGGCGACGGCATCCATCCTCCTCGTCTCCCGCCCCCACCGGGAGATCCGCTGCCGCGCGCGGGTCCAGCTCCCCCCTCCCCGGGGCCCCCCTTCCCAAGGGCCAAAAGAGCGCCACATCCTGTCGGCCCCCCGCCCAGGGCGGGGGGGCCGCGCGGGGGGGGGGGGAGGTGGCGACGGCATCCATCCTCCTCGTCTCCCGCCCCCACCGGGAGATCCGCTGCCGCGCGCGGGTCCAGCTCCCCCCTCCCCGGGGCCCCCCTTCCCAAGGGCCAAAAGAGCGCCACTCCCCGGGTGTCTGTGGGGGGCAGGGGGGAGTGCAACCCCCACCCCCGTTCTCCTCTCTCCTCTTCGCCTGCCGCGCCGGCGTGCCTGCTGGAAGGCGAGTTCCCCCTCCTGAGGCGCCGGCTGCGGCGGCTGCCTCCTTGGCCTGTGTTCGGATTTGATAGTGAGATATTGAAGAAATGGTATTCGGCAGAGATGAGATAGTCCAGCAGAGCCATGTGGGGTTAAAATATACAGTTTTTACTAAATTCTAGCATGGGGAAGGGTACCTGGGATGAAAATAACAACAGAGCATAATCGGCTACATCCTTACTCTACAAAGACAAAACTAGAAGGGAGAGAGAGGGTATGGCGGCTCTTCTTGTTCTTCTTCAGAACACCAAACAAAGACGGGAAGAAGAGAAGCCATAAAATGCTAATGCACCTGGACACTTCAGTCCCAATCAAATCCCTGGACCAGGGAGAGAATTCCCGGGCCTTCTACCTCTAAAGGACATTGGCCACACGAGAAACATCCAACCCCAGACCCACAGGAGTGTTCTCAGCTTGCGGTACCCAACAGCCGCCTGGCGCTCCCTCGCCCTGCCGCCAGGAGTCCCCCCTGAGCCCGCCGCGGCCGGCCGGTGGGGTGTGTGGAGGCGCTCGTCCGCGGGGGTCTGTCTTTCTCCCGAGAAGACCCCCGCCAGAGACACACAGCGAGCCCCAGAGCCGCTGACCTCTCCCTGCATTTTCTCAGGACCGCCCTGTGGGGGCCCCGTGGCCAGAGCTCCTCCCCCCTCCCCCCCAGCATTCACCCCCTGGAAACAGCCCC